AATGGAATACATGAGAACTTCAGGTCACAGACCACAGGAGGACATCTGAGATGAGAAAGTAGCATTTTGGCGGCTTTAGGTCTAATATGGGACAAGGATAAGCATGGAAGAAGGAAAAGAGGGGGAAAATGTTAATCCCTTGCAGAAGATATAAATATGTGGATACTTCTAGTTTAAGAAGTGACTGGAAGAAAGAATAAAGTCACTGGGCAGCTAGCAGGCAAGAAGAAATGGTTAGAGTTGAAAAGCCACCAGAGAAGAGTTCTCTCAGAGTTCTGTCACTTTAAAGTGTTTTCTAGGATTCTGCTCAGCTCCAGAGATCACAAGAGAAGCAGACCATCCCATCAGAAAACAGGTTTCAAGTGGAAATGAACTTCCAAGCAGCTTCTCATTATGCTCAGAAAAATCTAGAGAGGCAGGTAATATGGATTTGTTTGTGTGTATACATACATATAATTCAAATCTGAGACTGAGATATAATCTCCATGCCCCAAGTTAAGATGGCAGAAAAAGGGGTGTGTTTTCCTTCTAAATTCTATAGTCTATGGGTCCAAATCCACACCAGCATTTACTTTTTTCCTTCTTCTCCTCCTTTTCCTAAGATAGCGACAGCTCTCTGAGTAGAAAAAAAAATTACTTTGTGTGATTTGACACAGACCAGTAGATGCAAAGGTGCATGAACGAGCAAGCAGGGTGTACTAGTATAACAACAGAGTGCATGATTTAAGAAATTCAAATGCCTGGGTGTATGGCAAACACTGAAGTTACAAAGCATAATCACTACCTAATTCGAAGTATTTAAACCACTCTGATTTGAATAAATATTGATATGTAAAAATTCTTAACAACAAAGTAGCACAACAATTTTTCAGTATACAGTATCCAAGCAAATACCACTTCTGCTAATATAAGACTCAGATTCAGAGCCTTCTGAGCAGTGACATGCTCTGAAGGGGTTGTGATGATGCTCTTTACCTTCCATTATTAAAAACTTTTTCAAAAAACTGTGATGTGGCTTGGCAAAGGCAGGCTTGATGATGTCAACTCCTTTCTCTGTAGAATGGTGTAAATAATAATGCCCCAAATTGCCTTTTAATATTGTTGTGAGGACCAAATTATGAGAAAATGCTTTGTGAACCAGAAAGTCCCACACAAATGTTAGTTAGAGTAGAGCTCCTGGTTAGGCTGTACTCATGTTTTCAGGCAGGAAAGCCAGTAAGAAAGCTGGTATTTACGTACGACTTCTATATGGCATGTCATCCCACTCAGTACCATCTCAGGTAGAGAGTGATCACACCCCATTTTACATATAGGACTCACTGAGGCTTAAGTAACTTACATAAGGCAAGCCACCTAGAAAGTGGTAAAACTAGGATCTGAACTTGTCTGCTGTCTCAAAAAAACAGGTATCTTGGCACTAACACCTAATTGATTACTTAGGTCTCAGAAAGAAAAATGAATGACAGTATCCTGGTTTTTATATAACCATAAAGGTTCTCATCACCACCCTCATACTCAAGCTTTCAGCTTTACAAGACATCATATAAAATGTTTTAAACTTTCTGAAAGGGCTAAAGCCAGTGGGATGAAACACTCAGTATGCATTGTGGAGTAGAGCTCAGGAAATAAAAACAAAGGCAGAGATAATCAGTTGTAACAAAAGTAAACAAAACCTCAATAGCTTTGCCTGGCAAAGACTGTATCTCTTAGCCCCAACTGGGCACATGCAGGCCTCAACGACCACTGATTATGACTCAGTGATCTCAAAAGCATCTTTTTATTTTGGTCTTACTTAGTCTGTTTAGTGTTGCTATAAAGAAATATCTGAGGCTGAGTAATTCGTAAAGAAAAGAGGTTTATTTGGCTCACAGTTCTGCAGGCTAAACAAGCATGGCACTAGCATCTGCATCTACTGAGGGCCTCCAGGTGCTTCCACTGCTGGTGGAAGGTAAAGAGGAGCCAGTATGTGCAGAGATCACATGGTGAGAGATTAGAAGCAAGGTCGAGGGAGGGACGTGCCAGATTCTTTTAAGCAACAAGTTCTTGGAGGATCTCTCAAGGGAACCAAAAGAGCTAGAACTTGCTCACTTCCCCTCTCTCAGAGGGGGCCCTAATCTATTAATGAGGGATCCACCTCCATGACCCAAACACCTCCCATTTAGCTCCACCACCAAAACAGGATAAAATTTCAACATTAGACTTGGAGGGATCAAATATTCAAACCCTAGCACTCATCTAACATCACTCCCAAGATGCAAATTTACTGCTTATGGGCTAGAACTATCCCTATCTTAGCTATAAGGACAGCAGAGGGACCACACTGCTGATTTTTCCTCTGTGTGGTAGGGCACCCTGGCAGAATGAAGAAAATGGCATATATGCAGGGGTTGGAGAGACATGGCTATGACCTGAACTCACTGGGTCCCCTGGGCCAGCCCTTGCTTATCCATCTGTAATCCTTCTTCATCTTGAAGCATTTGCCTCTGGAATAATTGAGGAGACTTAGGTAAATTGTCAGCAAATCCTTTGAGCACAGCAGGCACTCAGGAGGGTATAGCTTCTGTATTAATGACTTATGAACTGGCTAATGTCCACTAGTAATTGTTTTTAACAAACAGATATTCTTTGTAGTAGACTAAAGATAATGGTTAAAAACTGCTGCTACTCTTCTCTTTGAGAGGTGAAGCCTAGTTCCTCTTCCCCTGAATTACTGTTGGTCTTACTTCCTCAGACAGTACAATGTGGCATGAGTTATTGTTCTGGGATTTCCAAGCCTAATTCACAGTAAGTCTTTTAATTAAGTATGACCAAGCCTCATACTGGTAGCTGCCATATAAGAAGTCTGACCACTGTGAAGCCACCATGTTGTGGGGGAACCGAAACTTTCCATGTAAGAAGGCCTCAGGGAGCCCTCAGCCATTGGAATCATTCCAGCCTTGGTCTCAAACACTCTGCAGTGAAGACAGTAGCCTCTGCTAAGCCCTGCAGATTACAGATTCATGAGCAGAATAAATGTTACTGCTTTAAGCCACAAGCTTTTAGACTAGTTTGTTACATAACAATGAAAAATCAGAATACTCAATCATGTTTTTTTTATCCCAATTAAAAATACCATATTTTTAATATATTTTTATAATATGAGTTATATAAAATATGAGTTATATAAAATAACATATTGCATGTGATGATGTTACTTCTCAAGTCTATTTTAGACATAAACTAAATGTCTTAAAAATGTTTGTTCGTGGACAATGTTAATACACACATAACTTAGTAACTGGCTGACCAGTGACATATAAGAGATATTGTGCATATATTCTTCTCAGTAATCAGGGTGATTTAGTGAGGGCCACTATCTACCTCCTAAGCAGGGAAACTACCTGTTCTGGACTATTTGCATTTCCCAGCAAGCTTTGCAAACAGCAGTTGTTAAGACACAGTTGATTTCTGTAGCTAGTCAGATGATGTTTGAAATCCTTTCAGCATTCATAGTAGCTCAATTTAGGAGGATGGACCTCATCATAGGATAAGAGTTGTCTCTCAGGACTGCAGGATAACTTACTGGTACCTTTCAAATAACATATGACCCCAAAATATTATGCAAACTTTGGGACATACAATCAGCATAGGTGAACTCAACAAACATTTTGCTGTTCCAAAATCTACTCTGTTGTTCTTTATTTCTTGTTTTTCTGGCGATAAGGCCTGCCTCCCTTTTTCTGAGGGGTATGTGTGCATGTGTGTATGTAAAATCCTATTTATCCTTCATATGACTCCTATCAAGGCAGAGTTAATCATTCCTTGATGACATTGCTTCTTCAATCTTTAAAGCCTATTCTGCAACAAACAAGCTTATCATTTTTAAAAAAGCAACAAACTGATAGTCCCACAGAACACATGGAAAGGGAACATGCGAGAGTCCCTATAATACTTGGCAACTTTCCACCAGGCTGAAACAGGCTGATGTGATATGTTTTAGGGATTAGAATTCAGCAGAAGAAATGAGTCAATTAAAACACTCGGCCAGAATGCTGTCTGTAGATAAAGTGCTTTGCACTAGGGGTACAACATAAGCTGAATTACTAAATTCTAAGGGCTGGCTGACTGGTGATTTGCATCTCAGTATCTTTCCATTTTATTCTCTCAACAAAAGTTAACAAGGAGCCACTCAGCCTGTGAAAGATAGGTACTTCATTTACCTTAGCAAGAACGAGACAAACAATGAACTCACAATTTTCCAACTCACTGGCTTTGGTTTGACCTGGAGTGGGTAATGCCTATTGTTCTAAGTGGGTTAACTGGAACATCAAACCCACCAACTGGTTTTGGTTTTTACATTCATTCAGCAGCAATTCTAATCCCAAAGGAAGTACAATCACTACATGGCAATTGGTGCTTTGTGGCACTATACCCAAAACACATGAGCAATGTGCAGAAAGAAAGTCATAATTGAACACTCTTTATTCTACCACAAAACCAAGAAGTCACAGTTTTACTACTTGTTATTTGAGAACCTTTTAAAACTATGCATAACATTTCAAGCCAAACGCTGTATGGCAACAGGTTTTATGTGTTAAAATACAGAAAATACAGGCTACAATTTCCTCTCCATGAGGAATCTACAGAAGGTCATCCTGGAAGAACACCAAACCAAAGGCAATGATGTTTTTGGACACTCATTCTCAAATTAACTATGGTTAACATGTCAATTTAGAATTATTATAATGGAGTTTACGTTATAACTGATGTCCAAGTTATAACTATAACTGATGTTACAACTTCCCTTTGGAATTCAGGAACAACTGACCAGCATTAACATTAAAACAGAGATCTTAGAATGACTTAATGCTTGATACTTCATCTAGATAAGGCAGAGTGAAACTTTACCGTCCTCTTTCACTGATTTAACCCTGGTCTTCATCCAAAAAGTAAATTCTCGGTACTCAGCAAATAACAACATTGGTATAATTTAGGAAAGAAGAAATGCAGTGTCAACTTACTTAACAGTTGGCAATAGAGGGCCTGTAAACTTCTCTTCATGGTATCATCTGGTCCTGCTTATCCTCCAGTTTATTCATGATTCTGTCTAGGAAATTGGGAGAAGAAAATTGTTACATCTGAGGAACATAATTGAAAAATCAGTAAGGACCCCACTCAATAGGGTCTTAGTTGTAAGGCCTAACATACACAATTTCGAAGAGAAAAAAATCTTGGGATAAATACACCACAGTTTAATTTACAATGGTGTATGTTGTAAAATTACCAACTAATCAACTGGTCAAACCCTGAAACTAGTGTACCCCACTGAAGGAAGCTCATAGGGGCAGCTAGTGAGAAATCTGGGCTCAGAACTGAAGACTTTTCATGAATCTCTCATGAATCTCTGTGGTCATAGGAGAACCAAAAAATTTCTTTTCTAATCTAATTTCTGCTAAGGCACTCACAAAACAAGCAAACACCCAAATAAAACAAACAAAAAACAAGACAGAAAGCTTCGCCACACTTGAAACTGTATTATTTTAAATAACTTTTCTATTATTTTCTGATTACATGGATACTTCTTGCATGGCATATTTAGAAAAAGTAAACAAAAAACAGAGATAAAAATTAACAAGAAAATACGTATTATGCACAATCCCACAAATAAGAGGTGATTACTGCTCAGATTTTAGAGTATATCTCTTTAGCCTTTTGAATGTGCACTTTCTATTGGTCTGTTTCATTTTATATATTATACATTTTAATTTTTCTCCCTAGCAGCAGAAATATCTTTCTGTGTTGTTACTATTACTTTACAGTTTTATTTTACATGGCAAACTGTATCTTTAAGATAAATTCCTAGAAATGGAAACACATTACGGAAGGACATAAATTAAGACTTTCTGAAATAAATATATTTCCAAATTGCTCTTCACCAATTCAAGTATATTAGAATAACCATTAAACTACACTTTACCCAATGAAGAAATTAACAGTTTCATCTCTGCCAATAGGCAAATATTCCATCTCAATGTTTTACTTTTCATTTTATGTTTATTAGTCATTTGTACATAAAAGTTTAAAAATTTGTATTTCTTAACCGTTCTCTACTATCATCCTAGGTTTTATTTTTCCTCATGACACCCCAAGTAGAAGTACCTATCTTTAAAATTTTTTTTATTAAGATATAACTCATATGTAAAATTCAGCCTTTAAGGTATACAATTCACTGATTGGCAATATATTCAAAAGTTGCCCAACCATCACCACTACCTAATTCCAGAATATTTTCATCATTCAAAAATGAAATCATCATGTTCACTTCACTATCAGTCACTCCCCATTTTCCCCTCCTTTGGCAACCACTAATCTATTGTCTTTACCGATTTGCCTGTTCTGGACATTTTATATAAATACAAGCAAACAGTATGTGTCTAGCTCTTTCACTCAGTATAATGTCTTCTTTCTTTTTTTTTTTTTTTTAGATGGAGTCTCACTCTGTTTCCAGCTTGTTTTTTGGTGGCGCAATCTCAGCTCACTGCAACCTCTGCCTCCTGGGTTCAAGCAATTCTCATGCCTCAGCCTCCCAAGTAGCTGCAGTTACAGGCACGTGCCACCACACCCAGCTAATTTTTGTATTTTTCATAGACAAAATAAAATCCTTTATTAAGAATTTTAATAAAATGATCTTAAAGTTAATTTTGGAGGGGGAAAAGAAACAAGCTCAAATAACAAGACAAATCTTTTTAAAAAGAGTAATAATAGAGAACTAACTGTACCAGTGGTTTAATTTAAACACTTACTGTTCTACTTGAAGAATGAGCAAACGGAGAAATAAAACTTAATACAAAGTTCAGAAACAGACTGTTGACGAAAAAGCTAAACTTCATAAAATATTTGATGAGATTTCTTCTGAGCCAAATGTGAGGAAGATGACCGGTAACAAAGCCTCAGGAGGTCCTGAGAACATGTGCCCAAGGTGGTTGGGTTACAACCTGGTTTTGTAAGTTTTATGAAACATCAGTCAATACATGTGAGGTACAGACTGTTTCGGTTTAGAAAGGTGGGACAACTCAAAGCAAGGGCTTACAGGCCACAGGTGGATTCAAAGATTTTCTGGTTGGCAGTCAGTTGAAGGAGTTATTAATATTATTTGAAGACATAGAATCAACAGAAAGAAGTGTCTGGGTTAAGATAATGGGTTGTGGAAACCAAGGTTCTCATTATGCACAGAAAAGTGGCTGCCCTTAGAGGTAACAGATGGCAAATGTTTCCTATTCAAACATTTAAAAGGTGCCAGACTCTCAGCTAATCTCCCCAGGGTCAGAATGTTCTGGAAAGGCAATGGGATTCTCTATAGTGTGTAAATTTCCTCTCCAAGAGATAGCTTTGCAGGACCATTTAAAATACATCAAAAAATATATTTTTGGGTGAAATACTCTGTTTTCAGGGCCTGCTATCCGTCATGTAATGCTATACTAGAGTCAGGTTGGAATTTGGTATCTTGTTACTACAAACAGTCTGTTCTGTCAGTCCTAAGATTGCTGTTTTAATGTTAATGCCAGTCAGTTTTGCCTGAATTCCAAAGGGAAGAAAGTATAATGAGGCATGTCTGACCTCCACTTCCCATCATGGCCTCAGTGAATTTTTCAGGTTTCTTTGGAATTCCCTTGGCTGAGAGGAGAAAGCCATTCAGTCAGTTGGGGTGCTTAGATTTTTATTTTTGGTTTATATTATCTAAGAATACAAAAGTATTTAGAATGTAATAAATGAAATAAAAAAATACTGGAAGTGTATTAGTTTGTTTTCACACTACTACTAAGGACATATTCAAGACTGACATATTCAATTTACAGAAGAAAGAGGTCTAACAAACTTACAGTTCTACATGGCTGGGGAGGCCTCACGATCATGGTAGAAGGCAAGGAGGAGAAAGTCACATCTTATGTGGATGGCGACAGGCAAAGAGAGAGAGCTTGTGCAGGGAAATTCTCTCTCTCTTTTTTTTTTTTTTTTTNCCAGGCTGGGGTGCAGTATTGCGATCTCAGCTCACTGCAGTCTCCGCCTTCTGGGTTCAAGCTGTAATTACAGGCACCTCTCACCATGCCCGGCTAATTTTTTTGTATTTTTAGTAGAGATGGGGTTTCACCATGTTGGCCAGGATAGTCTCGATCTCCTGACCTTGTCATTTGCCCACCTCAGCTTCCCAAAGTGCTGGGATTACAGGGGTGAGCCACTGTGCCCAATCAGGATGGGGTTTTTATGGTTGGGCTTTGGCACAGCTAGAGCAGCTGAAGCCTGGCTGTAGGTAGCAATATCCATGAAGTGGCTTCCTTATTCATTTCTACAGCAGCAGAGCATTGTATTGGAACTCTGGATATTTTTTTAGCATCTGTTGTTATTGTCCCTGCTTATTTTCATTACATAATTTTCTTTTTTTTTTGAGACAGGCTCTTGCTCTGTCACCCAGGTTGGAGTGCAGTGGTATGATCATGGCTCACTGCATCCTCAATCTCCTGGGCTCAAGCGATCCTCCCACCTCAGCCTCCCAAGTAGCTGAGACCACAGATGCGTGCACCATGTCTTGCTAATTTTCATAATTTTTTTTTTGTAGAGACAGGATCTCCCTGTGTTGCCCAGGCTGGTCTTGAATTCTTGAGCTCAAGAGATCCCCCCTTACGTTGGTCTTCCAAAGTGCTAGGATTGCAGGTGTGATCTATTATGCCTGACATTGTGTGTGTGTGTGTTTTTTTTTTTTTTGAGATAGAGTCTCCCTCTGTCACCAAGGCTGGAGGGCAGTGGTGCAATTTTGGCTCACTGCTACCTCCGCCTCCTGGGTTCAAGAGATTCTCCTTCCTCAGCCTCCTGAGTAGCTGGGATTACAGGTGTGCTCCACCACACCTGGCTAATTTTTGTATTTTTAGAAGAGACAAGGTTTCGCCATGTTGGTCAGGCTGGTCTCAAACTCCTGACCTTGTGATTCACCTGCCTCAGCCTCCCAAAGTGCTGCGATTACAGGCGTGAGCCACCACACCCGGCCCCTATTTTTAAAACCATCAGATCTTGTGAGGCTTACTCACTTTTACGAGAACAGCATGTGAAAGACCCACCTCTATGATTCAGTTACCTTCTACCAGGTCCCTCCCACAACACATGGGAATTCAAGATGAGATTTGGGTAGGGACACAGCTAAACCATATTAGGAAGAAAATATGGGCAAGAATTTATGTAATCTTGGACTGAGGAAGGCCTTTGTAACCATGAAAGTGTGTCTGTGGGGTAAGTAGAATTCTTATTGAAAAAGCACTTGAAAACCTCGAATGTTATATAGCATTGATGAATCTTAAAAACATTATACTGAGGCCGGGCATGGTGGCTCATGCCTGTAATTTCAAGACTTTGGGAGGCTGAGGCACGTGGATCATGAGGTCAGGAGACTGAGACCATCCTGGCCAACACGGTGAAACCCCATGATTATAGTCAGAATTATCTTCTATTTGCTTTATTAATTTGGAAGAGAATGACTTGATCTCATCAAAATCCATGTGGGGTGAGGAAGAACATAAGTATTCCAAAACTTACTGCTCTGGAAATCATAAGAGTTCTTTTGGGGGCTGGGAAGTGCTCTTTTTTGGGGGAGAGGGGTAGAAAAGCTCAATGACTTCTTTGGTTAGGCAAATTCATCCCCCACCACCAGTGTGATTTGTATGAGGAAGAAAAAGAGAGACAGCTAAAGTGCTTTTCATTATACAAAAATTTATTACGACCTTTGAGTTTCCACAGGCTATGGCTAGGAAACAGGAATTAAAGAGTCTAGAAACTAGAGAAGCTGAGGAGATAATACACAAGAGATACTGAGAGACAGAAAGAGACAACTCCAAAAGATGGTAGCAGGTGGGACCTAAGGAAGACAGATAAAGTGAGAAATTCCCCATAAGAAGATGCCTAATGAATGTTAAAATGTCTAGTATTTAATTTTTCATTGCTTATTGTTTTATGTTGTTTGTACTATATGTGTATTAGTCTTTTTTCATGCTGCTGATAAAGACATACCTGAGACTGGGTAATTAAGATAAAGAGTTTTAATGGACTTACAGTTCCACATGG